CATTGATGAAAATTTCCCAAAAACCTTTGCCTATGGGTTTAAAAATTGGTGAGGTCCGGGCTTTCCCCAAACCCCGTGGGCTGCACCTTTTTCCAACCAACCAATTCCGATTGCAAACCCCCTTGCGGGGACTCAGGCAAAGCCTCATACATGACCCCCCCCGCAATTTTCAGACCCCCCCGGTCCTTTCCGCTGCAAAACCCTTCCCCACCCCCCACTCTAATCTCTCTGCCATTTCCCCCCAGCCCCATGATCATTGACTTTTCCAAAATTTCCCTTTCATTCCAGTACCCCCTCCCAAAAGTGTCAAAACCCTTCCCCCCCCAAAATTCCAAAAACCGCGTCCCTCATTTGCCAAAATAGGGGTATAAATCAACATACCCCCCCCCAAACCGGGCCCACGGTTCAGCTCACCCTCCCCCCCCCCGGCCTTAGCCCAACCTTTCCACCATCCTATAAAAGGGTCCTGAACACATGCAAAAAATTTTTTTGCCTAAAGGACATCCCTCCTAAAAACCCCCGCCCATGTTAAAACCCACCCCCCCCCCCCCACACCCCCCTTGATTTGAAAAACCCTTTTCCTTGGGAATTTGAGTCAGCGTATCCACCCCACCCCACAATTTCTTAAACCAAACCCCTGCCCGTAGGAGAATATCCCTCAAAGCCTTTCTTTCCCCCCCCTATCATAAACCCCCTTTCCCCAATCCAAGGGCCCCCAAACCCTTTCCTTTTTCCCCTTTTCCATGTCCTCCGGGAACCCCTTGAAAATTTCCCGGGGGCCCACTTTCATTGACCTACCGGGTTAAACCAAACTGAGACCCCAAAAAAGACCCTCCCCACAAAAAAACATAAAAACCGTTTCCCCCAAAATTTTCGAAAATTAAATTTAAAATCACACAAAGCAATAAAAATTGGCTCGATAACCCCGAAGGGTACTTTTGCTTTTTTCCCTTTTTTTGGGACCAAACCACCACCCCCGTTGCCTGAATTTCCCCTTTTTTCCTCCGTCTTTCATGGCATTCAGTAACCTTTCAAAGGAAAAAACCCCCAAACAAAACCCCAGGGCTGTACATAAAATTCGCTAGGGAAACCCATCGATCCCGGGTGCCTTTAAACCCCTTTCCCCATTCCCCCTAAGGGCTCTCCATATTTCCCCCCTCCTCAATTGGGCCCCACCCAGTGCCCCCCCGATCACCCCCTTTCCCCCGTTTGCAAAAGGGACATACTCCCCAACCTTCCCCCGAAACCCCAAACCAAACCAAACTCAACCCCCCTACTTTCCCCCTATTTTCCCAAACCCCTCTATTTGCAAAATGCACTCCCTCCCCCTTTGGTGTCCCCTTAAACCCGACCCTCTTTTAAAACCCCCCACCCGAAAATATGACTTGCAAACCTGGATTGTAGTCGTTCGCTGTCCCTACCTTCTGTCCCGCAGGGAAAAACAAGCTGAAAGGCCCTTTTCACCTACCCCCCGAGTTAAATTCGTCTAACCCCCCCCCTGTACCCGTACAGCTGCAAAAAAATTCTTCTTGCCCAAAAACCCCCTATTTTTGTCCCTTTAACATTGTGTTAAATCCTCCACCGGGTACACCCCCCGGGCCCCCCCGCCCCCCGGCCCCCATCAATTTTCCCTAATCCTAGATTTTTAATAAATTTTTAAAAAGCCATTTCCGCAATTGAAATTTAAAGGGGTTTGCCCTCCCTCACATAAAAATGGGCGTTTCTTAAAATTAAACCAAAACCCCATCCCCCCCCATCCTACCAAAGTCCCTTTCCCCTTTTTTCTTTTTGTCCCCACAGAGGGTGTTTCCCAAAATATTTTCAAACGCTTCCACCCCTTTCCCCATCCGGCCCCCCCAAAACCATCGTGTTCATTTCCCAATAACTTCCCCCCCACCCCCCCCAAAACACCCATCCCACCCTCCACTAATACCCCCCCTAGATCGGGAAAACACCATTTCCCATAGTTTTAAAAAAACCCCCTACCAAAAAACCCCCGAGATAAATATAACCCTTTCCCAAAAAGCCCATACCCCTTCTTATAAAAGTATGTTCCAACCCCCCACAGGCCCCCCCCCCGAATGCATCACGTAACTGAAGATCTCTAAGAGGCCCCCCAAAAACTGAGGAAAAATATCCCGCCCCCTCTGGGTTCCCCCGTCTTTTCTTTAACTCATATGGGGTCAGTGGGCCTTGTATTGGGGTTACTCTAAACCCCATAGGAGTTCAGGTTTTGAATTTCAAATTTTTTACCAATTGCGCGATGAAGGGTTAATATTATACACATTAACAATTAGCAACACTTTTTCCTATCAATTACAATACACGATATAAATTTTGGCCAAATTCTTAAACAAATTAATATTGGGAATAATTTTTAATTCCCCCTACACAATTTAAATAAAAAAAAATATTATACCACATTAATATAATTAGAAACAACCCGGCTTTTCAAAATTTCACATACCCGATTGAAACTTTGGGCCCGAATTTTCTTTTCCAAAAAAAATTTATTTCAAATTTAAAATAAAATTAGCCAGAAATTTTTCTTATCCCAAAAATTAAAAATCGTAATAATTTTAATCCACTACACCCTTTAAAAACTTTGGAAAAAAACAACCACCTCCTTCGTCATTTCACATATAATTAATTTAAATAATTAAACCAATTTTTGTGACCCTTTACTAAAAAAGGGGGGGGGGGGGCCCTGGTTCGAAGGAACCCAAAAGGGAAAATTTTAAAAGTTTGGGAAAAATTTCTTTAAACTGAATGTTTAAACCCTTATGGGTTATACCAGTACTGACCGAATTTGTTCCCATAAGGAATATTGTGAAGTACATTAGTCCATTTCAGACCCCCAAATATACACATACAAACGCACTTACATAAATACACTTACATAATTGGTCGCATTCGGAGGTGATCGTTATGCGGGGGTCCATTGTATTTAATGTGGCCCAGAGCCATATTATTATCATCGACATACCATCATAAACAAGGGAGAAGTAATGAATAATTCATGCTGAGAATTGTAAACAAAAGTTACGTATTAAGGGGAGTGACGTAATGTTTTCCCTCCGCCCGGCTACCACACCTCCATAGTACATAAACATAAAATGTTTATACGCTATGTAGCGTGTTTCCTATATAATTTTGAAGAAAATATTACCTGGAGTTTACCTGGAGAGAGTTCCGGGGATCAACGCCCCCGCGGCCCGGTCTGTGACCAGGCCTCCTGGTGGATCAAAGCCTGATCAACCAGGCTGTTACTGCTGGCTGCACGCAAACCAACGTATGAGCCACAGCCCGGCTGGTCAGGTACCGACTTTAGGTGCTTGTCCAGTGCCAGCTTGAAGACTGCCAGGGGTCTATTGGTAATCCCCCTTATGTATGCTGGGAGGCAGTTAAACAGTGGATTAATGAAAATGTCTATATTAATGTAAAATAAGACATATAATGTGCCCAAGAGTAATTATTATTAGTATTACGTAACATTTTCCTTCCACCCAGCAACCACACTTCCATAACATATAAACAGCATGTTTATATGCTATGTAACATGTTTCTTATATAATTTTGAAGAAAATATCATAGATCGATTAATGAAAATGTCTATATTGACGTAAAGTAAGACATTTAATGTGCCCAAGAGTGATTATTATTACATAATAGAGATGTGCTCATGGAGAACGTAAACAAACCAGGTGGCACGCACCATATTTGAAAGACCGCTCGCTGTATAGAAAGCTTTGGTCATAATTTGAGATTGTCATATTAGGGGAATGCCATAAGGCAAAACGCCAAAAAGCGGGGCCCTACTGTAATTGGATATACATTATTTCTTATGGGCAATATTAATAAAAAATACAGTTCATAGACAATAACTATAGTTTTACATAAAAACTAGGGCTTACGAAAACCGAGGTTCCACTGTATTATTATACGTATTATTATTATATTATTATTATTATTATTATTATTATAATGTGGAAGCACTAAACTCGTAGGATTATACAGCGCCTGTGGGGAGGGGGGCAGGGGATGGAAGGTATTCAGCTTTAATTTAGGGAATTGGAGCAGATACAATTTCCTAGATCAAGAGCCCCTCACCAACATCAAGGAACCTCCCTTGAGGGAAAAGCTCACAACCTGAATTTTGGCTCGTATCCAGAAGCAAAAAATCGACCGAGTGATAGCTTGTATCCTGAAAAACTCACATGGTGGAGCACTTGTAAGCAGAGGTTCCACTGTATATTGTTTTCTGGTGGGTCCCTGGTCATGTTGACGTACAGGGCAATGAACAGGCAGACACTGCTGCATGGTCTGCAGTACATGACCTCCCAGTTTCATATAGAGGTGTTTCATTCACAGACTATTTTCCTGTAATTTCTAACACCTTCACAACCGTTTGTAACAATGTTGGTCTGATATGGTACATAACAAATTGCATTCTGTTGAACCAAGTTTGTCTCTGGCCATCTTGTAATTGATGGCGGGGTTGGGAGACTATGCTCTCCCATCTTTGCATTGGGCACACTCGTCTTATTCATGGGCATCTCATGGAGAGGCACCCTGTTCCACTCTGTGAGAATTGCCAGGTTCCAGTTTTGTTTAACCATATTCTGTTAGACTGTCTAGTCTATCAACGAGCACACAGAATTTACCTCCAACATCATCACCGCTCTAATGCCCTTACTTTATCTTCCCTCCTTGCTGACAGACCCACCTTTGACCCAGACTCCCTCATTGACTTTTTGACAGCAACTGATGTACTACACAAACTTTGATGATACTTACTTTAACACTCCTCACAGCCCTTTCTAACTCTCCCTCTGCTGTCCACTCCATTCTTGCTACTCTGTAATCATGTACTATCCCCTTCTCCACTGTGCTGTATGACCATTGTGGGTATAGCACTTTTTTTATTATAATAATTCAACCTAGTATAAACTCTAGATCAGTACAGTGAGAACAGATTGTAGGTTTAACAAATCACCAAAAATAAACAAGGCTTTATTTACTTATACATATGACAATGTATCTTATTCAAGAAATTATCCTTCAACACTTGTGCATGAACACACATTTATTTTATCATGTAAAGTGTTTAATTTTAAACTTAAACTCTAATATATTTGTACATATACATCCTGGCTAAGTTTGGAGAACCACTATTCTGGTAAATGAGAGCTAAGTTAAAGGCAATCTCACGCGACAAGTCAAGTCTGGGCCCACCTGGTGGTTCCTCCACTGTGGGACAATCAAGTGCAAGTTTGTAATAATGGATTGCTTGTGGCAGGAGATTAAGCTGATGAAAAGCTCGACCCAAGTTATACATTGACTCTTGACACTCCCCACGCATCTCTACATAGGTGTTTAAAAAAGCACATGCCTGTACAACTAGAGAATGTTTTTTACCACTGAATTTCTGGCAAGCCATGTGTGTGAAAGTCAAACCTAGCATTAGTGGAATAAGTGGATTTAAAGGGTCTTGCTTAAAAGCTTGAGTATATTCTGCTAAGGAGTATTTATATGTCCCTGCCACCAAGCAGTTGTGACCATTCAATAAGCCTAAAGCAACTAAATCTGGGTGTTTGTGAGTAAGCCTTAGCAAAAAGCGGTTATGTCGAAAGTCATCAGCTTTAGAAATTATGAGATTTAGCAGGTTCCAACACCTTTTGTTCTCTGGCTTTTTTATAACTAGCTCTCTCATGATATTGTAGGCATAATAAGAACTATCATTATAAATGCACGCCAGAAGACACATGAATTCTATTTCTCGAGCACGCTCCTTCTCCCTCATGAACTCTTTGGACCCAAGTGCACTGAAGGTCATCCTTTCAAGTTCCTCAAATCTGAAAAGTAATACAACAAATATAAATGACAAATTCATTACAAATTTCATCACTCCTATTTTTCACTTTCAATAAAGTGGAGAAACACCTGAATGGAAAAAGAGAGAGAAAAGTATTATATAATGTGAGAAATCACAAAAATGCTTGGAATACTACTACTTTTCACTGTGGTTATATTTCATATTAAGATATCACCTGCTTCTTGACATCTTACTAGGCAAAAAAAAAAAAAAATAGAGAGATAAATGCCATTATTACACAGCAGGAATAGGTAAAAAATAATTAAAATTTAGTAAGATGAGGCAGAATTTATTTCATGGTAAGAATGTATAAAGACCATTATTAACAGAGTTCGTCTATATTCTTCAAGTACCTATGGTTCTGAATTACAAACATTACTTTGTTTAACCCTTTCAGGGTCCGTGCCGTAGTTCTACGGCTTTGAGTTGAGGGTTCAAACCGTAGATTTATGCCATGAGCTCAGCTCACTCTGATAAGCTGGGAGCGGTAAACTTGGGCCTAGATATGAGAGAATACATCTATGTGGTATGTGTGCACCACATAAAACAAATCCAGCAGCACACAGTCCATAATGAGAGAAAAAAACTCAGACCGTAATTTTCGGTTAAAACAGCAACTTTGCAGTGTTTTTTCATATGTTTTTTATAGTTGCGATTTCTTGGTCTCATTTGATAGAATGGAAGATATATTACAGAAATAGAGATGATATTGATTGGTTTTATTACTGGAAATTGCTTGAAACTGAGCTCAAAGTAGCGGAAATGTTAAATTTTTGCCGATGTTCAAGAGTAAACAAATGACCTCACACGTCTAATACACACCAGATGGTGGGTCTAATATACATTAAAAAATGTGGTGATATTATTTATACAATTATTACAATATTGCATAACAGTAAATCTTCTATTTTTTGGTTTGAATAAAAATTCATTATGTGAATAAAAAATCAAAATGGAATTCATTTGTAAAGGCTGAAAACATAACTAATGAACAGAGGAAATGTTAGTTTAGTGCCAGGAATGTCTGCATTATTTATTCTAGGCCCTATTTTGAAATTGGAATATTTTGAACTTTGCATTAAATTGGCCAAATTACCAATTTCCGATCACTTTATTTTGTAGTTGAAACAGTTGACTTGGCGATTTCTTGTGCTCAATCAATAGAACAGAAGTAATACTAGTGAAATAGCTAAGAATTTGGTCGACTGGAATAATGTAATTGACCTAAAATGGGAGTCAAAGTCGGCAAAATCACTGATGCGTAAATATCGCTAATACATCAAAATTCGCGAGCATAATTTCGTCAATTTTTCATCAAATTTTGTACTTTTTGTTTTATTACCTTCACAAAAAGATTCTCTACCATTTCATAAGAAAAAATAATTTTTTTTTTTTAAATTCTTGGACCCTGGTGCACACTTTGAAATTTGGCCTCTGGACCCTGAAAGGGTTAAAAGTAGCAGTTCCAAGAAATACTCTACCTAAAGATAAGTCATACCTGCCCTTGTCATGAAGAATATTGCACACTGTAGTAAAGAGGTCCCACTGGTCTTCAAGAGGTACATCTGGTCCAGTATATGCTGGACCATTGTCTTCAAGATTCTCATTTTTAGAGCGACGAAGTTCTCGAATAGCTTCATACTTATTACTTAACTTTTTGTTGCTAAGCATGGCTTCTGCCTCATCCCGATTGCTGAGAGTAGCAGAAAACTTTGTTAAGATGGGCAGTTGTCATTCTTTACTACAGAAAAAAGCTTGGAAAATATATACAGTACTTAGTCAATGTATTGCAGTAAAGTATTATTATTAGTAGGAGTATTAGTTGTAGTAGTAGTAATAGTAGTAGTAATAATAGTAGTAGTAACAGTGGTAGTAGCAATAGTAACAGTAGTAGTAGCAGTAGTAGTAGCTGTAGTAATAGCAGTAGTAGTAGGATATGGAGGAGGAGTAGTAGTACTACTTGGAGGAGAAAGTAAGGTAGCAGTAGTAGTAGTAATCTTCTTTCAATGTACCAGCTGTATCCCATCGAGGTGGGGTGGCCTAAAAGAAAAAACACAAGTTTCTCCTTTTAAATTTAGTAATATATACAGGAGAAGGGGTTACTAGCTTATTGCTCCCGGCATTTTAGTCGCCTCTTACAACATGCATGGCTTACAGAAGAAGAATTCTGTTCCACTTCCCCATGGACAGTAGTAGTAATATTTTCATTATTTGATTTTTTATTATTTTTTTTTTAACAAGTTGGCTGTCTCCCACAGTGGCAGCGTGACCCAAAAAGAAAAATACTTTCATCATATTTCAACACTTTCACCTCACTCATACATAATCACTGTTTTTGCAAAGGCACCCAGAAACAACAGTTTAGATGCATATATAAAGGTTATAACGTATTCCTCCAAACTGCCAATATCCCAAACTCCTCCTTTAAAGTGCAGGCATTGTACTTCCCATTTCCAGTACTCAAGTCTGGCTATATAAAAATAAATGGTTTCCCTGAATCCCTTCACTAAATATTACCCTGCTCACACACCAACAGCTCATCAGGTCCCAAAACCATTCATCTCCATTCACTCCTATCTAACACGCTCACGCATGCTTGCTGGAAGTCCAAGCCCCTCGCCCACAATACCTCCTTTTTACCCCCTCCCTCCAACCTTTTCAAGGACGACCCCTACTCCGCCTTCCTCACCCTACAGATTTATATGCTCTCCATGTCATTCTACTTTGATCCATTCTTTCTAAATGACCAAACCACCTCAACAACCCCTATTCAGCCCTCTAATACTTTTAACTCCACACCTCCTAATTTCCACACTGAATTTTCTGCATAATATTTACACCACACATTGCCCTTAGATAGGTCATTTCCACTGCCTCCAACTGCCTCCTCACTGCAGCATTTACAACTCAAGCTCACACCCATATACAGTGGACCCTCAGGTAACGGCATTAATCCATTCCAGAGAGCTTGCCTTTAACCAATTTTGCCGTTAGCTGAATTAATTTTCCCCATAAGAAATGATGGAAATCCAATTAATCCGTTCCAGACACCCAAAAGTATTAAACGAAATAATTTTTTACATGAAATATACATTTCCCTACACAGAAAACAATGAGATATGCACAATAAACAATACTGAAATGACACTTACCTTTATTGAGGACTTATTGAAGAGTTATGAGATGGGAGGAGGGGAGAGGATGGCAGTGTACTATTGTTTGGAAGGGGAATCCCCTTCCATAAAGACTTCAGGTAAGAAGTCCTTTTCTGGGGTTACCTCCCTTTTTTGTTTTTTAATGCCACTAGGACCAGCTTGAGAGCCACGGGGCCCCTGTCGCACAAAGTATCTGTCCAGAGAGCTCTGTTTCTGGTCTCTCTTTAAGATTTCCCTAAAATAGGACACAAGAGTGTCATTGTACATGTTGCCAATACAGCTTGCAACAGCTGTGTCAGGATAATGATCATCCATAAAAGTTTGCACCTTTGTCCACATTGTACAAATGTCCTTAATCTTTGACGAAGGCAACTTCCTCCATCTCTCTTCCTCTTCCTCTAAAGCAAATTCCTGAGCTGTGATCTGTTGTTGTTGCACCTGGAGCTCTTGCAGCTCTGTAATGGTTAGCTCTTCATTGTCGTCCTCCACCAACTCTTCCACATCCTCGCCACTAACCTCCAACCCCATGGACTTCCCAAATGCCACAATAGATTCCACAACTGGCATAGGCTCCTCAAGGTTAGCTCCAAACCCTTCAAAATCTCTCTCTTGTACACATTCTGGCCACAATTTTCTCCAAGCAGAGTTCAAAGTCCTGCAAGTCACTCCCTCCCAAGCCTTACCTATAAGGTTTATGCAACTGAGGATACTTAAGTGATCTTTCCAGAACTCTCTTAGGGTCAATTCAATGTCTGAGGTCACTTCCAAGCACTTTTGAAACACTGCTTTGGTGTACAGTTTTTTGAAGTTTGAAATGACCTGCTGGTTCATGGGCTGGAGGAGAGGAGTGGTATTAGGAGGCAAAACTTCACTTTGGTGAAGCTCAACTCCCCCACAATTTGCTCTTCCAAGTCTTGAGGATGAGCAGGAGCATTGTCCATTACCAGGAGGCACTTGAGTGGCAATTTATTTTCCAGGAAGTATTTTTTCAAACTAGGGCCAAACAAGTCATAGAACCAATTGAGGAAAATGTCCCTAGTGACCCATGCCTTGCTGTTTGCTCTCCACATCACACACAATACAGTCTGGATGACACTGTTTTTCTTGAATACTCTGGAAGTTTCAGAGTGATACAGGAGTAAAGGCTTCCCTTTGCAATCCCCATTAGCATTACTACAAAACATGAGAGTTAGCCTGTCTTTCAAAGGCTTGTGTCCTGGGAGTGTCTTTTCCTCCTGAGTAATGTAGGTCCTGCTTGGCACTTTCTTCCAAAACAGGCTTGTTTTGTCACAATTGAACATTTATTGGGGTTTTAATTTTTCAGTGTCTACGTACCCCTTAAAGTCCTGCACATATTTTTCAGCCACTTTTTTGTCAGAACTGGCAGCCTCACTATGCCTTATCACACTGTGTATGCCACTATGATTCTTAAATCTCTCAAACCAACCTTTGCTGGCCTTAAATTCACTAACATTCAGGTGTTTTCTTAATCAGATCATCATGCAACTGCCTTGCCTTTTCACATATTATTGACTGTGAAACATTATTTCTTGATAATTGTTTCTCATTGATCCACACCAACAACAGTCTCTCCACATCTTCAAGTATTTGCAGTCTCTGTTTTGAAAGCATACTTGCACCTTTCACAACAACAGCTTTCTTGATTGCCTTTTTGTTGGCCAAGATAGTCATGATGGCTAACTCGGAGACACACACTCCACTTTCGTACTTTGCGATTATCTCTTTTCTTCAGTTCAATAGTATTTCTCACCCTTTTTACCATAGGGTTGGCATTAGAAGCTTTCTTTGGGCCCATGGTGGCTTATTTAGCAGTTGTTTTTTTTTATTATTAACACATCTGCCGATTCCCACCAAGGCAGGGCTGCCCGAAAAAGAAAAAAATTCATCATCATTCACTCCATCACTGTCTTGCCGGGAGGGATGCTTTACACTACAGTTATAAAACTGCAACATTAACACCCCTCCTTCAGAGTGTAGACACTGTACTTCCCATCTCCAGGACTCAAGTCTGGCCTGCCGGTTTCCCTGAATCCCTTCATAAATGTTACTTTGCTCACACTCCAACAGCACGTCAAGTATTAAAAACCATTTGTCTCCATTCACTCCTATCAAATACGCTCATGCACGCTTGCTGGAATTCCAAGCCCCTCGCACACAAAACCTCCTTTACCCCCTCCCTCCAACCCTTCCTAGGCTGACCCCTACCCCGCCTTCCCTCCACTACAGATTTATACACTCTCAAAGTCATTCTGTTTTATTCCATTCTCTCTACATATCCGAACCACCTCAATAACCCCTCCTCAGCCCTCTGGAAAATAGTTTTGGTAATCCAACACCTTCTCCTAATTTCCGAACTACCAATTCTCTGCATTATATTCACACCACACACTGCCCTCAGACATGACTTCTCCACTGCCTCCAGCCTTCTCCTCGCTGCAACATTCATTACTCATGCTTCACACCCATACAAGAGTGTTGGTACAACTATAATCTCATACATTCCCCTTTTTGCTTCCACAGACAAAGTTGTTTGTCTCCACAGACTCCTAAGTGCACCACTCACCCTTTTCCCCTCATCAATTCTGTGATTCACCTCATCTTTCACAGACCCATCTGCTGACACATCCACTCCTAAATATCTGAATACATTCACCTCCTCCATACTCTCTCCTTCCAATCTGATATCCAGTCTTTCATCACCTAATCTTTTTGTTATCCTCATAACCTTACTCTTTCCTACATTCACTTTTAATTTTCTTCTTTTACATACCCTACCAAATTCATCCACCAACCTCTGCAACTTCTCTTCAGAATCTCCCAAAAGCACAGTGTCATCAGCAAAGAGCAACTGTGACAACTCCCACTTTGTGTTTGATTCTTTATCTTTTAACACCACACCTCTTGCCAAGACCCTAACATTCAGAACAAGAACTATTTTGATAAAATCAAAGAAAACTCAGATGAGTGTGTATACATAAACGTGTACATGTATGCATAGTGTGACCTAAGTGTAAGTAGAAGTAGCAAGACGTGCCTGAAATCTTGCATGTTTATGAGACAGAAAAAAGACATCAGCAAATCCTACTATCATGTAAAACAATTACAAGCTTTCATTTTACACTCATTTGGCAGGACGGCAGTACCTCCCTGGGTGGTTGCTGTCTACTATTCTTGGGGGAAACACTATACCTGAAGTGGTTATATATATCCTGGGAAATGTAAGGTAACTGGGTTTTATCAGAAAGGAAGGGTACCTCCAATTCCTAGGATCAAGAGCCCTTCACCACCCTCAAAGCACCATGAAAGGTTATTTCAGTAGAGATCAACAACCGATCACATGTATTTGGCAATACAAGTAGACAAACTAGAGATTTTGCATAAGAACAAAACAGATTAGTAGTACATGCATAGATCAGGATTGCAGAGAAGCAGGAAGAATTATTAAGGGTGGAAGTATAGACTAAGTGATTATGTTGAAGCAGGAAAGTGAGCAATACTTAGGGTAAAAAGCTATTTG